CACACACACACACACACACACACACACACATCTTACTCGTGTCAGCGAAAACTCTAGACTCCAAACCTCACTCACCAGGCGAACATCCTACACATAGCAGCTGGAGCACAACTGCCACCGAGAGCACCATCAAGCTGAGAGACTGACCAGTCCAAAAGCTTGACCGGCCTGACACGGGGGCTGACAGACATAATAAGCTGCCTCGTACAACGGGCGCCGCCATGACTTTTCTACTAAACACCTGAAGACAAAAGAAAAAGAAAAGAAATTATAATAAAGATGCTTTTGACGACACAATATATTTTTTTTTAAATAGTAGAAGTTTTACGCCGCTCGCAACTGCATAAGGTCATATGAGCGCCAAGGAGTGGATGTCAACAGAGAAGTCTTTACAGGGAATCGGGCTTACTTTACTCACCTCTCTAGCTTCAACAGAACAAAGTCTGTTTCGACTTTCAAGGCATCCCAGAAATAGCGGGTCACAAGAATGTGACAAACGTACAAAAGAAGTAGAGGAAAATGACGAATAGTAAGGATTAGGAAAGAAAAAGCAGCACTTCCCTGTTGTAGTTCAGGCACAGTTATGAGCGTGACATTGATGAATCAGCCCATTTACAATTACAATTCTACTGTGCATAAGAACGAGAAAAGTCCCCCCTTTGGGAATGGCCTAAAGACACTTCAGTCGGTAGCACCGCCCCCGGGGGAACAGATCATTTAGAAGGCGGATTCCGAATGCACCTGCCAGAGCCGACAAGGGCAGAGAAAGATACAACATTCTAGCAGATCTTTAAAGTGTTTTACGGTACCTTATCTTATATTTCCTGTCTCTTTCTATGTCCCACGGTGTTAATTAACTACTTGGACCAACGAGTTAGCTGGGGTTTTTTTTTTTAAAGAGTGGACTATAATGAATAAAAGAAAACACTGGGAGCAAATCAGACCTGACTCTGCCCAAGTCAATAGTAAGCAGGCAACAAAACTAAATCAAATCATACAACCCCCCCTTCCCTTTCCAAATCTAGATCATGGCCTAGTCGAATCTGGCTCTCTGCCACATGGAGATTTGGACGTAGATATCAGGGGCTTCGCGTTATCTTGTAC